TCAGGAAGCCAATTTCGACATGTGTCACGTAGGCCAGTTGACATGTCCAGAAACGAACAAACTCATACAAAAGGAGATGAGATGGCTGTAAGAACGACATCGCAAGAGATGTATGCCTCGTTGCATGGCCGGGTGTGTCGTCGAGATCATGAGCACAGACCCATTGCCGGATCCGTGACAACGCCTCTCGGGAGAATCACCGTCAGTAGCTACACAGAGAACTATCCAAGAAAGTTTGCAAGACAAGTAGCTAAGGTGATGTTGAAAGTGAAACATGAGCCATGGGTTACTGCCCTTGTAACCAGAGGAATAGATCAACCGAGTGAGGAAAGTGCATCCAAGCGGATCCGTGTGAGTTCTCCCATGCAGAAGTCCCAAGGTGGGCGACTGCCACCAACACCCCTGGAGCAATTGTCGAACGAGTGCAAGCGCCGCCGCATTGACGGCAAGACGGCCGAATCGCAGAGTATGAACATGTCACCTCAGAGACAACTAGAAGAAATCATCAAGGACATCCAACCAATGTTGCCAAGAGTAGGGAAGACTTTTATCACAAACCACCAAATTTTGGAGAGGCTTCAAAACATGTTCCCCGAAAAAGAAATCAAGAAAGTTCAAGCATGTAAGGGATCAGATCGAACATTGCCACCGCCAAGGGATTTGCTAAAGAATGAGGCCCCATATCGTCGTGCCATCATCGTAAGCCGAATAGGGGGGGTAATCCAAGTAGAAAAGGACTGGGAATACTGGCAAGACCTGTCTCATCGGCAGCAAGTCCGCCCAGCACATCCCGCAAGAGTCAATATCACAATGTATGCATGTTTGCCCCAATCCAAGTCAGAAGCATCAGGTGATTCGACCGAACAGAATATGAGTCCCGAGGCAACGGGAACAAGCATCGAGCCGCAGGAGGCAACCGTCAGCCTGCCAAGTAGTGACCAAGCACCTGTCACAGAGCTGGATCCGGATCAGACCAAAGAGACAGGAGCGAGTTCGAGTCAACTCTATATGCCGAGCTTTGACCATGGCCCAAAGTTCAAGACCATATCAGCCGAAGAAAAATCGTTCTTGCTGAAATTGCATCAGAACCTAGGACACCCTCATGGTCAAAAGCTGTGTTCAATGCTGCGTCAACAGGGGTACTCACCCCGATTGTGTCAAGCTGCCATGGACCTAAGTTGTTCCGTATGTCAGAATACTAAGGAACCTAAACATCAAAGACCTTCTACAATCAAACGTGAGCTAGACTTCAACGACTGTATTGGGATAGATGGTGTTGTATACACGAATCGGCCGGAACCAACTTCCACTTCTATCACATCATCGACTATGGAACAAACTACCAGGTAGCATGTGCAAGCCCAGGTAAAAGCAGTGATGATGCAATAGACAAGGTGCTCAATGGATGGCTCCAATGGGCAGGGGCTCCGATTGAGATTCACACAGACTCAGGGACGGAATTCACATCCAAGGAATTTGTCACTTTTCTAGGCCAGTTCAACATCAAAGCAATAGTTACCCCACCAGGTGCACACTGGCAAATCGGAAAAGTAGAAAGACATGGTGGAATCCTACAGGAAATGCTCAAGAAGTATGAACAGGAACATCCAATAACGTCATACACCAACCTGCAGACAGCACTATCGCACTGCACTTCTGCCAAGAATGCACTGAGCCAGAAACAGGGATACTCCCCAGAAACTCTTGTTTTTGGAAAAGGGTCCAGAATTCCGGCATCAATCTCATCGGACGAGCAATTGCCATCGCACCTCCTGGCAGACGATGACACCCAGGAAGGAATCAGATTTCGAGAAAAGCTGGCATACCGCGAAGCTGCGCGACGAGCTTTTCACTGTGCAGACAACAGCTCTGCGTTGCGAAGAGCTGTTCTCCGGCGAAGCTGTCCTCACCGAGGATCCTATGACAGGGGAACTTGGGTGATGCTATGGAGACAGACTCCAACCCAACGGGGGTGGTTTGGTCCAGCCAGAGTCATCCAACAAGAAGGTCCCCATTGTCTTTGGTGTAATCACGCAGGAAGCTTGGTAAAGATAGCCCCTGAACATGTTCGACCCGTAAGTGCCATGGAAGCCCAGCATATCCCCCGAGCTCTAAGTCCGATCGCAGGGATTGAAGGCGAAGATACACAAAATGCCAACATTCGTGAACAAGCACCCGCAACTCCACCAGAGAGCCAAGAAGATAGCAATATAATCCCACAACATGTAGGAACAGGAAACACATCGAATTCGTCAGAGGTCCAGCCAGATCAAGAGCCCTCGATTCCAGAGAGTCAAGTGTCTCCAGCGAGCCGACAAAGCATCGAATTGCCGAGTGACCCCGGCGATCATCAGGATGCAGCAAGTGTGCCGGTCCCAAGCGAAGCGTCCGATCTCAGTGATGAACTCGTATGTGACTCCCTATTAAGTGTAGAAGATCAGGTCAACTGGTGCCAAACCCAAATAGACTCAGAAGCCGTAGGATGGAAAGCTGAATTCCTGTTTCCCCAAGAAACAGTGATGAAATGGGATGAAAACTCACCAGCAACAGATCTTATCATGATGACTACCACCACCAAGCGTGACCGAACAGAAGTAAAGATGCACCAAATATCCACCGAAGAACAAGCTCTCTTCCGTCAAGCAAAGGACAAGGAGATCACAAATTGGTTAAACACAGGGACGGTGAGTAAAATCTTTCGGGATCAGCTGTGTCCGGAACAGGTAATGCGTTGCCGCTGGATATGCGTATGGAAACCCCTTGATGCTGACGACCTTCAATCCGGATCAACTGAGAACGTCAGACCAGGACCAAAGACCCATAAACCGAAAGCACGTCTAGTAGTCCTTGGATATCAAGATCCCCAGTTAGACAGCATACCCCGGGACTCGCCGACACTTGGAAAGCAATCCAAAATGCTCTTGTTGCAAGCAATATCATCCATGGGATGGACTCTGAAAAGCTTCGATATCAAAGCTGCATTTTTGCAAGGCAAAACGCAGGAAGATCGAGTTCTAGGCCTGGAACCTGTTGAAGAACTTCGAAAGGCATTGAAACTTCAACCCAATCAAATCTGCAAACTCGAAAAATCAGCCTACGGTTTGATCGATGCTCCTTATTTGCGGCATAAGGAATTGGATCGGACCCTTCGTGATTTGAACTAACCCTTCGACCCATGCGCATACGTACTATACAAACCAGGACAAAGCAAAATTTCGGGGGTCCTAGGAGTTCACGTTGACGATGGACTAGGTGGAGGAGATCAATACTTTGAAGAACAAATCTCAAAGCTAGAAGCCAAATTCCCACTTGGATCAAAGAAAGTAGGTCAATTCACGTTCACTGGTGTTGAGATGAACCAACAGGCAGACAAAAGTATCATCATGTCCCAATCCAAGTATGTAAGCAAGATTGAGCCAATCCACATGAATGCAAGCAGACGAACATGTCTGACGGATGAAGTGACCTCCGAAGAGAGACACTCGCTCCGTGCACTTGTGGGAAGTCTTCAGTACGCGAGCATCAACACGAGACCGGATCTTTCAAGTCGACTAAGCTACATCCAAAGTGAGATCAACAAAGCCACGGTCCAAACGTTGCACGATGCCAACCGTGTACTTCATGAAGCAAAACGATACAAAGACACATGCATCAGAATCCAACCCATCCCAATCAAGGATCTCAGATTCTTGTTATTCTCGGACGCATCATTTGCGTCGGCCAAGAGCCCAGAAAGTCACACAGGCATGATCATCTTGGCCACCCATAGGGATATAAGTGAGAACTATCAATGCCCAGTCAGCCCGTTGTCCTGGGGTTGCCGCAAGATCCAGAAAGTAGTTACGAGTACTTTGTCAGCCGAAACAACTTCGCTCCAAACAAGCTTAGACCAGCTATCTTGGATGAGACTCTATTGGGCATGGATCCAAAATCCCCAAGTCAATTGGAAACGACCACATGAGGTTTTTAAGAGTGAACCCAAACCAATCCAATCTACCACAGCCTTAGCCCAGTGTTTGCCACGATCAGTAGCTGTCACAGATTGCAAATCTTTGTATGATTTGGTTACCCGAACTGCTCAACCAAATTGCCAGGAATTCCGTACACAACTTCAAGCAAAGGCAATAAAAGATTTGCTATCCGAAGGCATTCAATTAAGATGGGTTCATACAGGAGCTCAGCTCGCTGATGCACTAACTAAGGTGATGCAAGGAACTTTCCTCCGATACACTTTGCAACGAGGCATGTATCAACTAAATGACTAACTGCAAGTGCTGAAAGAGCGAGCTGACAGCAGAACACGCCTTAGGTGGCTTGAGTCCGGGATCCCTCTAATGGGAGACCAGCAGCAAGAAGGATGATCGACGCACAACCAAAGAAAAAGATTGATAGAATTTTTGATGAGTGTGAATTTCGAACCTTTCGGTCACTGGGGAACCAGTCTTGACCCACTCAGGTGTGGTCACGTCCGAAGCCACGAGTGTGCGAGGCCGCAAGGGTGGTGTAGGGTGGGTCACCCGTGACCTGAGCCATAGAAGCAGTGAGGACACTGCAGGGCGAGGCGCCCGACCGTTCGTACCAACCTTCAGGTGAGCTGTGAGTGGAAAACGCACGCGGCTGTGCGAGGGGAGGAGGATCTTTTGTTGCTACCTTTGTGTCAATCACAATGTATGTATGTATGTATGTATGACTGTATGTATGTATGTATGTATGTATGTGTATACACTATAATTGCCACCAGGCTAGGTCAGTTGCATTTTGGGTTGTCGTTGGATGGTGACAGCCGTCCTGGTAAGTTGCTGAGGATTGCACAAACTTGATGGTTTGTGTAGGGTGAGCATAATGGGTGGATGCAAGAGGATTTTTAGATGAAATCATTATGTCTCACTTATGCGTGCCTATGTGCAACAGCCGGATTGATTTGCCACTCTCCGTCCAATCCCTAGGGCCATAGGGCCTCGATGTTTGTAGGAGTTGAGTGGCGCGGTCAATCCGCTCAGGAGAAGCCTGCCACGGCTCGTGCCTAATATGCACGTGGTGGTTCCACTGCTGGTCAAGCCAGCCACAGAAGTACACGATGGAATCTATGGCCTCGCCACACTGGCAAATCTCGAAAGCCCCAAGTCAGTGGCTTGAAGCATTAAACCTCATTGAACCATTGGTTTCATGTGCTATTGAAATCTCTTGAAGTATGTGCCAAGTTGCCCCGTTTTAGGGGAGTTGCACAGAATCAGAGGGAAGAAGTGATGCAGGTGGAGACCTTTGTGTCCCATTGCTGGAGTGAGCCATTTCAAGACTTCGTGGCCACTCTTGAGACGATTCGCTTGAATACCGTCGTATGGGTTTGCAGCTTTGCCATTCCACAGATCCTTGGCAAGAGCTGATGCCGCTCAATTGACATAGGAGCAAGGACACTTCTAGTAGCTCGTGGCCTTACTACTAGTATCAAGAAGCTACTAGGTACTAGGAGTAAGGGCATCGCTACTGGTAACAAAATAGTAACAAGGAGCATATTACAGTAGCATTCTTGCTACTAAAGTAGCAAGGACGCTACTAGGAGCTTTCTTGAACCAGCTCAAGCGGTGAACAAGCATGGAGCTGCACGAGCAGCTCCGAGTGATTTCTAGGAACATGGACATCAGCGAGCAGCTGAAGTCTGAGCCCATGAGCTCCCCTTTCGCCATCGCACTACTGAAAGCTGAGTGCGTCCTCCTGGCAGTGGATGAGACCTTTGAGCCGTTGACCCGCTCATGGTGTGGCTCGGCACAAACTAAACAGGATTTGCCAGGTGGTTCGAAGGTGCTCAGATGTTTGGGAAAAAACAGACTGCTTGAGTAATTGCCGTGCTTCTTGTGAGATGTCACGCCAATAGAACTCGAAAAGAATGCGCATAAAGATGATCGAGGCTGCTATGAGCTCTACTTGGCCATCTCAAAAGGAACTCGGGTGGAAATCCGCGGCGGCACCAACAATAAAGGCTCCTGGCCACAATGAATTTTGGTTCCCAAGGCAGAGTGCCCATCAGAGCCGCACAACGGTTTTCAGCAAGCTGGTATCAATATGTATCAATAGTGTTCAACAGTTCAATATACGATGTGTTTACTTCTATTACTATATATATTATATATATATGAGTATAATTGCATATGTGTATACAGTATATATTTGTATATTAAAAACGTAGGTGGAGCTTGCAAGGGGAAGTGGCATGCCGCTTTGGGAAAAGATGCACTGCTATGACATACGGCGCAAGACAAAATAACCTCAACCAGAACTTGAAGTCAGTGATTTTTCCTTGGACAACACTAGCCGCAACCGATTGCCCCTTTTGCTTCCCACATTCAACTTGGGTGCCCAAACAGGTCTATTTCCTGATCAAACTCAAATGCATTTGACAATAACTGTTAGCTTAAACCAACAAGAAATCTGAGTTGATTTTTGGATTCACAGTTGCTTCCTCAAGACCCGGCCATTTGCCATGCTTTTTCAAATCTCTCCGATCTCCACTCGGTCGTCCAAAAGGCTCACCCTCCACCAAGGCTTCTACGGGAAGCTGGCGGCAGCGAGCCAAACTGTGGACTCTTGGCAGCGAGCGTTTTGGTCCCGTTGGCATGGATTTGTTGCGCAGCAGGGAACCATTGCCTTGCGGTTTTGTTTTTTGGTTTAGCTATCGAGAAGGGAACAATGGGAACAGTCGCAGGTTCATTGAATGAAGTGCACCCAGCATGATGAATGGACAGAAGCAATTTTCTCAAAAGAACAGGCCATATCCATACTTCCGAGAAGGGAGAACCATCCAGATGTGTGGGCAACTTTTGCAATTTCCTTCCCATCATCCTGCAGTTTGTATATGTAACACGACTACAAAGACCGGCGGCTGAAGTTGACGAAGTTGCAGAGGTTGTAAATGTGGCTTTTTGCGTTTGCACGCCGCATGTCAAAAGGGTTACTGTATATAGTAATTACATGCAATTATTAGCATACTAATATAGTATACAATAATATAGTATAACACCGCATAATAACATACATTAGTATATCATACAATTATACAATAGACTACGTACGAAAAAAAATATACTGTGCTTAGTTTGTGGCCCCTCAGCTGGGACTTGAAGGTGTTTTGCTCTAAAATGGAATGGGCATGCATGGGTGTGCATCGGGATAGGCAAACCTTTAAATTAAGACCCCAATCCCCCAACCCTTAGTTGGCAACATGAGCAAAATTCAAGAAAATCGACTACTTTGCTTTGGGAGGTCTCGCGGATTTTCTCCGAATCGGCCAATGCAGGACATTCGTCATTGCCGTGCCACTGACTCCCGGGACCACGCGAAGATCATGGCTGCGTTGAAGGGCTCGGAAGACTTGGTGAACCGGAAGATCCGGGAACGTGTAGAAGATACAGCTCAGTTTGTGAAGGCACTGACTTAATAAGTTTAGTATAGAAGTCACGAGATGTCTTCATGGTTTTTCATGATTTTCGACCGCTCTAGGCAACTTGCCTCGAAGGGCGGGTGGATGTGCACCCCCATTGCAAAGTGTCCAAGACATGGTTTTGAAAACGTGTTGAGAATTTTGAAGGGCCAGCACTGGGCACCCACAAAATGGATCAAAGATTTGCGCCGCTTGTCATCTTTGCATGGCTGCACGGGAGAAAGCTGAGATTAGACCCATGAGTGGTGCTCTCAAGCATTGTACAGCAGTGACTTTTGTGGCTGTCAGTCAGCCGTTGCTTCGTGAATTCGCACGAGCACGACAAGTGCTTTCTGCTTGCACGGCGTGAAGTCGGGAGTGTTCGAAGAATGGGTTTAGCTGGTGACACATGGAAGATGGTGGGGCATGTTTTCGATCCCTGTCACTTATATAGACGATATCAAATCTATGACACAAACATGCGTGTGCGCAGGCATATTCTATCATGTGTTCAGTATTTATGTGCTTGCCTTCCTTGCGGTCTTAGGCAAGGAACTGGAGCTTCGAGCTTGCCAAGCATGAAAACTACACTAACTATAACTATATATACAGCAGGATGATAAAGACCTGCCGCTTTCTACTCGACCCACAAGCCTCCAAACATTCCAAACATGTATTTGTGCAGTATGCTGACAGATGCTTTCTGCATTTTACATTGGTATCCAAATCTAAACTAGCCCAATGTTTATTTTCTGGTGTGTGGCTGGGCTAGAGGCCTGATCTTTGCGCATCAGAGGACATTGAGGTGAACTGAGGGGGATGAAGGATTTGGGCAGAGATTGCACCATTTTTGCCCTGGAGACTACCAATTGGCCATTGTATTTGATATGTCATATGATGGATTTGGGTGGAAGAGGTGGGGCAGGGCCGCGCTTCCAAAGGACGCCTCACACCCAGCCAGACGTGAGTTGCAACGCTTGCTCGGAGGCCAAGGGTGGTTGGCCTGCTGAGTCATTTCAGGTCATAGGAGGATTGCAAACAATCCAGTTTGGATATTTAATCAATATGTAGATCCTTTTGGACATGCGCATGTTCACGCATGTTCATTTCCTCGGAGCTACATGCCTTTGGCGACAAATTGAGGTTGAAGCGGATTAGTGATCGAGCTGGGTTTCGAGCCAAGTGATGAGAGCCACTGAAAGTCAAGAGCCAAAAGCGAGTCATGGTCCAGTCAGTGGATGCGTTCAGGCAGTGAATTTGAAGCAATTATATAAATGCCTTTGCCAAATGAAAAGATTGAAAAGGAGAATCGGTAATTGTAAGAAAGTAGTACAGCATCTATGAGGCATATATGTATTTCATGTATATACGATGGCTCCACATCAGAAGCAGTTGGAGTGCTCACTGGAGGCTTTCGGACAAAGATGCCGACATAGTCAAGGTGGAGACGATCTTCATAGAGAGGTCCAGAGGGCTGACATGCAAATACAGGAACAGCGGTACCACGTGGTATCCAAATAGAATTGGTTTTCTTCGAGGGGATTTAACGTTCCATCATGTTCCATCTATTTGAGGCTCTAGATTCGTCCAGCATTCTGGGGCTTGCTGCCATTTGCAAAGCCCACCTTAATGTTGAGGACGGTTTCTCGCTTTGATATGAACCCGGGTGTTTTCGAAACCCGAGGACACGTCGTTTCAGGCGTGATAATTCGAGCGCCCCGGCGTTTCATGTCGGTGATGGTTTTGCATCGCCAGGCTCAAGGAGCGCGAAGTGGAACTTCAACGTTTGAAGTATGAGCACCACGACGCGGAGAGGGGGGGTCAAGTTTTGTGTGCTTTAGTAGCAAAGGGCATCGAACAAGGACGCTGGGGCTCCTGGCCTTACTAGGAACAAGGACGCTAAGGGTCCAAAGGGTCCAGAGATTTCTCTGCCTTGCAATATCACCGTATTGAGCTCACTTTTCCAAGCCCGCCAGGATGCCAAGAACACCCAGCTTAGAAATGCACTGAGGGCCTGTGGCTTAGGTGCTTCTCAGGCCTGGTCATGCTTCTCTCCATGCATTTCCTCAGGTGGGCCAGGCTGGCGAAACTCTTTAGGTTCTAAGGTTCTTGCTCCCATCCATTCTTATATTCTCATTATCCGGTTTGCATGGGTCCTGGGCGTGTGCAACCCCATGACTGAGGCAAGCGCCAGTGTCAGGGCCTTGATGGAGGGTAGTCTAGTTGGAGCGCCAGTGGTTGCTCCGAGCTCAGGCGCTGCAACACGCAGCAACACTGATGCCTCCTGACATTGGCATTGACATACAGGACTCGCGAGGGGTCGTTTGCGCAAGGGCACAGGCGAGGGCTGTCCAACCTGAGTTTTGTGTTTGCACTGTTCTTCCAATCCATTATTTGCAACAAGAAGCCTTGGCATCAGCCATTTCTTGCTTCCTTTGCTTCTCCAGCTCGATTCCCAAAGGAGGATGAGTACCTGAACCAAATTCAAGAGCTACAACGCCAAGCTCGTGTCCAAGTTGTAGGAGCCAGCAGACGTGTTCGGCCTACTTTTGTTCACAACGTCAGTAGGCCGAAAGAAGTTCTCGCAAATCTGACGTCATCCTCAGAGATCAGGGTGTCCTGCAACTTCTTTGCGCTGCTCTGGACATTTTCCACAGCATACGCTTTGTGCGTTTGTTAAAAGTAATGGACATAATGGACCGATTCGATTCATGTGCCGCTCTGCAAAGGTGGTTGACAAGGACAACAGGATCCTGGAGTTGTTGAAAGGCACTACCAATGCTCAGTCATTGGCTGCTAGGCAGGCTCAGCGATTTTGTGGGATCCGGTTCCTTGCAAATGCTACTTCCACTCAACTGCTTGCAGCTGGCAGTTCAATCATGAAGACTTAGCTCCTCCATCCAAAGAATGCATAATGTATACAGTTCTTTTTGGTTGGAGCAGATCCAAATGCTGCGGGTTGCTGCAGGGCAGAGAAGACATTGCAGCGAGCCTTGGGAAAGTGGGCACCCTCAGCCGGAGACTCAAAAAGAAAGCACTTGGAGCTTCTGATGGATTCCATGATGCAAACACAATAGATGGATATTCTATGACATTCTAATTATGGTGTTTTGCTTTCACTCACGTCACGTTCCCTACATTAGCGAGGTCTCATGACCATTTGGATCCAACCAGTTCTATTTCATTCTGCTGTAATGCCTTGAGGCCATACCGGTGGAACTACAACGCAAGGGGTCTTAGAGATCATACAACATCATGCAACATACCCGAATTTGCTCGGCTCCTCCTTTGACAAAATGGGTGCTTGGAGTATGCTGATTTGAATTTATGGAGACTTGACTTAACTTGATCCAGTTGCAGTATTTGGTTGTCAACGGCCGGGTCATGCAGCACAATACTGTGCTGTTGCTGGCAACTCCGACTTTAGGGATGACGGATATTGACGGATGATCACCAGCCCATGCAGATGACTGGGGAATGTTCCGAGACTCAAAACCAGGTGAAGCATTCCAAGCATGGTCTGCACACACCCGTTCCGGTGCCCTGGCGCGTTTAGAAGCCGCAACTACAAAGGACAGGAACTTGTGTTGCACTTGGAGTTGCAGGCATTTGCTGTTTCATTTCAATTTACTGTAACAAGTATTAGTTGGCTCCTTGCTGCAATTACCCCGCCAGGTGAGGTGCAACAAAGGAAACAAGAAGCCGAGTTTCAAAAGCGGCTTGGGAGGCAAGAGGGTCAGGGGTAAAGGATGCAGGCAAGCTCTAGGGGTGCTCCAGGAAGAACAATTGTTGTTGTGTTTGTTGCAATGTATGCAGCATCGCCGTAGCTTTTGCTAGCACTATGTTTGGCTCAAAAGAGGGCCGCGCAACACAACTGCGAATTGAACATGAATGGCCCACTTGGCCAACATCACGCCCATGCAGTGGTGGTGCCACGTATTTGGTTGCACCAAGACTGTGGTTAGTTGCAAGCACAGCTGGAAACCGGGCTCTTCTGTATAGACACCAAACCCACTCACAACCTGATCCATGAGCCTTCCTGGCGATGGTGATACAGAGGCTCTTCTTCCCGCAAGGCACGATGCAAGCATGAGCATGGGCTGATAGATACTAGCCCAACTGATGTGAAGTATTCCCGAATACTCTATGAACATCGGACGAGCATTACCCAACCAATATATAACAATCTATATATGTATACAGATGTGTCGACTGGTGTGTCCAAAGCCTGGCCAGGACACCTGCCGTAGCGTGCAAGCGCTTTGGACTCTACGCTGCGCTTTCTGCGCTTTCGTGCGCACTTGTGGCGGGTCTCGGCTGGCAGGACTCTTGTCCTTCAATGTGCAGCTGTGGTCATAAGCTGTGTGTGTGTGTGTGCAATGAGGCAGATCGATGATATATGGTAGTGTAGTGCCACGTGGGTGTGTGATGGTTTTAACATGTTTTATCGCATGATCACTTGCCATGAGATTCGCAAGGTCATGGTCACATGCATTCACAAGGTGTCCGCTCCAAGCCCCCATGCGGCAAATGTCGACTATTTGTCAGAAAAGTTCAAGCTGCTGGATGCATGGAGATTGACCCCTGGATGTTGGCAAATTTGTGTGTTATTTCATGTTAAAGCTCTTGCATTAGAGATGCTATGTTTGTGAAACTTGACCCATGCTATGTGTTTGAACCATTAATTACCATTGAACAAGTGGAACCACACCCTTGTTCCGTTTTCTTGCCGTTCTGTCGTGCATGAATTGACTCCACACAAGTAAACGACCCCGGGGCCCCGACCTGCATAGCCGGGCGCAGCGATGCCCAGGATCTCGGGGGCCCAAAGTGACCCCTTCACTTTCCGATGTCCCATGACCATTTTTCAACGTATGGCCGCTGCTGCGCTGGTGGGGCGGAAAGCTGCAGGCCGGTTTCGGAGACCGCCTCCAAGAGCCCAGGTAGGTAAAAACAAACATGTTAGACAAGGCGAGATGTGAAGCCGCATGAGAGACCACTTGGGAGCTGGGCCTTTTTCTCACCCCTTCTTGAGGTGATTGCTGCAAGAGCTATGATGCTGTGCCAATGCTTTGGCCATACCAGTTTCCCGAATGCGGCCGAAGTTGGTGTCCCTCTTGCTGGAACAGCAGTGATGTGAAGTCGCTGCCAGTTCACACCTTTGCGGCCTTGGGATATGCAGCCTCCTTGGCTGTGAGCAGTCCCAAGGCGACTCGGAGATTGACATGTCCCGAGATGTCTGACCGAGTGAGAAGGGGCTGCATTCATCAAAGAAGAAAGCATAAGAAAGTAATTTGATTGATAGATCTTTATTGCGTTTAGATCCCAACAGTTTTGGGTTGTTTGGGCTTTTGGGCTGGGTTGGCTTCGCATTCTGGAGCGACCCTAGGCTTTAAAGCCTCAGGGCACCGAGCGGCGCTTGGACATCACGAGGCTTGGAAATCACCATAGGGGGTCAATCGCAAGATGGCATGTCTCCACTGGAGAGTGCCGAATCTGTTGGAAAGAAGCAACATGTGCGCCGTTTTTCATGCAGACATTGTGTTGGAGTTTCTCCATGCATTGCAAGCGGCTGGTGGTTTACCCCGCGTCTAGGCGGGGCGCATGTGACCGGTGGCCAGGCACGCTGGAATTGCTTCCAACAAAATGCTCGCCAGAGCGAAGCATGGCTTCCGGGAACGTGTGGTAGATCTTTGCCCACGTATCAATGATTGGGAGGAGCTAGCTGGCTAGCTGGCTGCACTGTGGGGTGTCCATGCCTTGCATGCCTTGCAAAACGTGGCCAGCAGTGTCTTCAAATGGTTCACTTGTTCACCTGTCGTCCTGTTCCGCATGGTGCAGGAGTATTACCTGAATGATGATGCAGAGAATGTCCATGCACGAGTCTACAAGTCTTCTCAAGCACAGGTGGCCGTGGTGTCCTTTCGTGGGACGCAGGCCTGGCCCCGTCGCCGAGGGGCGTTTGGTCGATCGCCAAGGTGGTGACTGGATGTTATTCGGAATGTTTGCATGACATTTGTTGATGGTGATTACAATGATTGCTTTTGATTGCTTTTTTGGGAGTGATTTGCTTCATTTTGCTCCATAATTATCATGGATCATGTGACGAATCATGTGTGACTCATAGCCATCTCACTGTCGTTGTCACTCAGATTTCACGACAGGCCACCTCTGCACAGAATTGGGAGATTGACTCCGACATCATCATGCTTCCAGTAGAGCTTGGAGCTCCCGGACAGCACAAAGCAGCAACTTGGTGAATGAAGCACTGCTGAGTCACGATTCACTTGGAGTTTGGTTTGGTGCCCCAGGAAAGCATCCTCCCGTCCATCTCTTCTCTTATCAAAATGGAGGGGACCCCTTCAGAGTCAGGACCCCTCACCCGGAAAGGACACGAGGATCAAAATACCGAGGCATCCTCCACTGCCAACGTCCATGAGGGCTTCTATCTTGAGCTGCAACGAGTGCTGCCACACGTGCGCAAGTGGGTAGAGGGATACATCGAGGGCACTAAGGTGCGGACACAGTGGGCACGATGCACAGCTCAGGTGACGGATTGGCAAGCTTACTTTTGATTCTAAGAGCGCCTATGTACCCCTACAGCCTTGTGCACGTGCTGCTTGCACTGCGTTCCTGTGAAACGCCAGGGCCTGTTTGGCATCCCCAGCTACTGGAAGCTTGTTTTCACTGGTCACAGTTTGGGCGCAGCGCTGGCTATCCTTGCCGCCACCTTGGCAGAGGCGACATGGGCGCACCTGAGAAGAGAACGTTAGAACTGGATGGCACCCCTTTGAGGTCATTGTTTCTTTTGGAAAGGGTCCAATGGCCAACCCTGCCAACATGTGACGGTCACCCCCATCAGGCAGAGGGCTGGGCACGCACACCGGATGCAGTGGTGGCGTTCGGCGCCCCACGCCTGGCAGATCAAGCTCTTAGCACCCCGCCGAGTTGGTGAAACTTTCACTTTGCTAAGCAGACTGGAAGCGGAAGCAGGGATGGAGCAAAAGATTGGAGACGAGAGGAACAGAGATGCCGGGAGAGCTTAGGGGTTTGGTTTGAGGCTGTTTTTTGTGGAATGAGATGTGCCCCGAGCGAACCAGGTCCCTGAGGATATCTCACAGTTGCTCAGGTGACTGGTGGGAATCTCGAGATTTGTGTGGAAAGATTCTGAGAGTCGCGGTGCAGAACGATGTCATCACCTGGATGCCTTTTGTGGAACCACTTCAACTGATGGAAGCTTTGAAATCATTGGTGGTCCTTTCGATAAAAGACATGGCACACCATGGCAGCAACACGTCCAAGTGATTGTAGACCTGCTTTGAATACTGAGGATATTGTGAGCTACTGCTTGGAGAACCCCATGAGCTGCCTTGGTCAACTGGCCAATGGCCCCAAGTCCTTGCACCCGAGCGAGAGGCCCGAAATGCATCAAGTCAAGGTGACAATCGCTCTGCAAATTTGCAGGGCAGAGAGGCAGAGAAGGGCCATAAAGCATCACTCGGACCAGAATATAAAATGTTGATGTGCTTGTCCACCCAGTTGCCCCAAAGATCCCCCAAATGTATGCATAGAAAGGTTCTAACATGTTTTTAACTATGTAGCTACGCAAGTGTTTCGTAAAACGCCACGCAGATGGGCCCACGTTTGTCCGAAGAGTGAGCTGCTTGTGCCTGGCGCCATGAAGGGAATCAACTCACAGATGAAGGACAGTGGGATGGCTGGGACACGGGGGGGGAAGTATGCTGAGGCTGAGGTGTGGTGATGCTAAACATTATAGTTGAAGTATGTTGAAGTGGATACATGGCAGGCAATAGTAGATGTGCATATTACAATCAACATGGAAGGGCTGCATCACAAAACTGGATATATCATGTGCGCTTGGTACGATGATGATAAACTACAGCAACAGACGTTCAGCATAATTCAATGACTGATAACCTTTCAATCCCCATTTCAATGTTTTGCAGTGGGTGGGTTGCTGTGAGAAATGGCGAAGGCATATGTAGTGCGACAGCATACTGCTAAACGCATGGTTTTGTGAAATGACTAAACTGAAGACAATAGCTCCTCAAGAAGCGCTCAATCCTGGACTAAACCTATATAATAACATCAGCAGCCACATGTTTTCACATTTAACATATTGCGTTTCAGAAGAAGCATCAATGATCATCATAATAATCATCGTCATCAACTAAAGAAGCTACAGCACAAAAGGAGGTGTGCAGTTTTGAGAAACAGGGAACATGGATAACGGCGGCAGGCAGCTCTTGCAATCAGATGCATACATTTAATGACACAGAATATGGTTAAACTTTAGTTGAGAGAAGTCAACAGTAGCAATTATGAAAGACGTTGAACTTGGTGGAATGTCAACCTTCTACGGAATGTTATGAATCAATGAGCCGCAAGTATACAGCAGATATGATTTACACAAATATATCACAATATATCAATAGAATGATATATACAGCATATTTAAGGGCTTACGCCCGACAGCCGGCCAGGGGCCCAAGCAAAGGGGAGTGTTGTTGTTGTGGTTGTTGTTGTTGTTGTTGTTGTTGTTGTGGTTGTGGTTGTTGTTGTGGTTGTTGTTGTGGTTGTGGTTGTTGTTGTTGTTCTGGTCGTTGTTGTTGTTGTTGTTGAGGTTGCTCTTGTTGTGGTTGTCGTGGTGGTAGTTGTGGGTGTGAACGTAGGCCCCGCAGCCGCCACGATGCAGACGAAGCTCCCCAATGCGGCACGCATTTCCAGCATTATTGGGTCCTATTTTCGGCTTATGTTAGCCCATGTTAGCCCATCTGGAGCCACAAAGACGGAAAAGTGGAAGAAGCAGAAAACACTGTAAAACACACGATTCTGCATGGTCTGTTGGGGGGTCGGCGGTAGGGGCGGGACTCCACTCTCTCCTTCGGAGAGGAGAGACTGCCTACGGCAAAGACACGGCCAGGCCCCTGGCCGGATTTATGAGGCTTACGCCTGACAGCCGGGCGCCGGCCAAGCAGGGTGAGGGCTTGTGTTCAACGGTTTCGCTCTTGGCCCTAGGTTGGGCCAAGTTGAGCCCATGTGGTCTATGTTAGGCACATCTTGGGCCCAAGTTGAGCCTATGTTGGGCCTAGGTCGGCCTATGTTAGGCCTATGTTGGCCTATGTTGGGCCTATGTTGGCGTATGTTGGCCCCATGTTGGCATATGTCGGCCCTATGTTGAGCCATCTTGGAGGCTATGTTGGGCATATGTTGGCTATCTTGGGCCTATGTTGGGGAAATGTTAGGCAACTTCTGTGCCCAACACCCACGAAATGTCGATTAAGCCTGTCCGCGCGGCACGCATAACCGACACCACCAGTGCCCTGTTAGACGGAAGTCATGTCCGCCGAAGGCCACGAAACACTGTAAAAAACGATGTTTTCCACATCATGCGCAATCATGCTGGTAGATAAAATGTAAATAACATAAAAATCCGTCAAAAATCTGTCGACACGCTTCGGGCGGGGGTATACACGCGGTCCAACAAAAGGGTCGGCGGCAGGGGCGGCGAGCGTATATAACCTTCGGTTACCACCGAAGGCCTCCGGCAAGGACACGGGCCCGTGGCCGGCGCCCGGATTGTAAGGGCTCCGCCCCCTGCCGCCGACCCCGGGGATAAGGCACGAGATCGCCGACGGTGGCAAATGTATAGGAATGGAAGTAGCAGCTAGTAGCATACAACAGTGCAGATGCACACGACATCGGTCACGGTGGCAAATTTAGAGGAATGGAGGTAGCAGCAATGAGCATACCACAGTGCAGACGCACACGACATCGGTCACGGTGGCAAATTTAGAGGAATGGAGGTACAACAGTGCAGACGC